ATACATATACATATACATATACATAGACATAGACATAGACATAGACATAGACATAGACATGGACATAGACATAGACATAGACATAGACATAGACATAGACATAGACATAGACATAGACATATACATACACATGTCCCTGAACAATCCTGAACCCCGGCCGTCCTGCGGGTATGAATCTAGACTAAGTTTAGCACCAAAGCGAAGGGGCATTGCGCCACGGGATTCGGCGTTGAATGGTTGGCATCGAGCTCCCGGCAGTGTCAGCAGCACACCACCAACTCAAAAGCTGATTAATGCCACTGTAGCTATGAGGTGGGCGCGCACCAATGTCCAGATTCAGATGTTTTTTCCCCCAGGTTTAGGGCTTATAAAGGGCATCTTGAGGAGACGGTAGGGCTTTGGAGTATCGCCGAGGGTTGGTAAGCAGAACCCTTACCCATCCTCAGCTGGGACTTTCAGTGTCGCTCACGCTCTTGGAGTGCTATGTGATTCACATGCACTAAGTAATTTGCCGACACGAGAAAATGAAGCGAAGCTCAAGGCTTCACTGTGAGACTGGTAGAGCATGTAGAGCTTTACCAGCGCCGTCCTCGTCTAGTGCCGAAGGGCCCAAACGCAGGGCGCACACATCCTGCACGTGCAGGGGGCAGATGGCGCTGATGGGAAAACATGATGGCGCACACAGGGTCGTAAGCCTGCGAGTTGCCAAGCCTTCATATTAGCAATGGTTCAGCCTTTCTACAATTCTAGGGCTTGGCCCAAGCAGCACGACCCCTCATCTGCGCCGAAATGCAGGAGATGTGCTCTCAGCGCCTGTTTCTCATGAGTGCGAAGATAAGCCCGGCATTAAGCACGGTGAGACCTCCGATGACTAAGGACATCGTCTTAACTTGCGACTGCATGGCGTTCAAGGCCACCAGTGACTGCACCGCCGCTGCACCGGCGGTGTCGCTGACCCTCGGGGCGGTCGCCTGGGGTGAACCACTCCCGGCAGGTTCCGGGTTGGGCTCTGCATCCTCTGACTTTGCGTTGTCGACGAGGAGGCCTGAGGGTTCTGTACAAGAGCAATACCTCACTTAGGCCTGTAATAAGGGCTTCCTGCCTGAGAAGTCGAGATCACCACTACTCGGGGTCTATATGGTCTGTATGTATAATATCTGAAACTCCGCCACCTCGCTCAAAGGCTGCCGTGACCTCGGCCGTGGCGTAGTGGTGCTTTCGGAGGTGTCTCTTCACCAGGCCCTTCCTCGGCTCTTGTCAAGGAAATTTTAAGTGAAGCTACCGCAGTAAGGAAACCCTACCATTTACTCTGGATCCCCATTATGGCCATTAATTGTGGTACCTTAAACCTACGAATTCCTTTAACAAGAACCCAGCTTCGGCTCCGCACCCTTCTGAGGCATCTGGTAGTAGGTGGGGTTCGCAGCCAGGGGAGCCGCCCTTGGCAGACTCGTGCTGCCCATCAGCTGCGCGTCCACGCGGGCGGCGCAGTCGCGACCCTCTGCGATGGCGGTGACGACGAGGGACGCACCGCGGCGGCAGTCGCCACAAACATACCTTAAACGACCAAAAACCTACACAATTCTATAACATTACGGTCTATAATTTATATAATAAGAACCTGCTTTAAAAGGTGGGGGCTTAAAGGGTAGCTCAAGATACAAATTGCTCCAAGGGGAAGCCTCGGCCTGGTACTCGCCGTACTGGGCCTTAAAGTTCGAGTGGGAATCCCGGGAGAGCTGGTTCCTTGGTTCATAAGTATAGCCTCTTTATGATAAGGGTACTCTTTTTCCTACTACTCGGTTTTAATAAGACTTCCCCAATAAGCCAGGGAAATAAGAAGGTTAATTTAGGGTTTAGGGCTTAGGGTTTAGGGTTTAGGGTTTAGACTTTCAGATTACTAGTAAATATCGAGAACCCAAAAAGTTTAAAGGTTGGGTATTGGGGAACTAAGGTTCAGGGGATCGATGGCAGTGTCCGGTCCGGTGAAGCCCATGGCCAAGACGACGAGCTCGGCCGGGTAGTTCACAGTACCCGTCTCCTTGCCCGATGGGTTCACCTTCGCTGCCACCACGGCGCCCACGGCGCTGGGATCCTGCGCCGAGGCGCGGAAGCTCTTGGTCTGCACCATGTACTCCCGTGGGTCACGGCCCAAGGTGGACTCGCCCTCGGAGTGGGCGTAGTCCACGCGGTAGGTGTCTGCCCAGCAGGGCCATGGAGTGTGCTTTGGCCGGTCCTTGGGCGCGGCGTCGCGCCGGGAGAACTGGAGGACGCTCTTCGCGCCGAGCCGGATGGCAGTGGCCACGCAGTCGACAGCTGTGTCGCCACCGCCGATCACCACCACACGCTTGCCTTGCACGTCGTATGTCGTGGTGCTGGTATTCTTGAGGCCCATCTCGCTGTCCAAGTTCTTCTTCTGTGTGTCTGTCAGGAAGTCCATGGCCTGAACAACGTTCTTCAGGTTACGGCCGTCCGCGTTGCGCATGTCACGCCACATGGTCGCTCCGGTGGCCATGATGACCGCGTCGTTCTGGCTGCAAAGGCCGTTCAAGGTCACGTCCTTGCCCACCTCCGTGTTGCACTTGAAGCTGATGCCCTCCTGCTGCATGAGCTTGATGCGGCGAAGGACCTTGTCGATCTTGTCCAACTTCATGGAGGGGATGCCGTACATCAGCAGACCTCCGGGGCGGTCAGCCTGCTCGATAACCTCCACGAGATGCCCCGCACGGTTCAGCTGCTGCGCCGCAGCGAGGCCAGCCGGTCCCGAGCCGATGATGGCGATGCGGCGCCCAGTGCGCTGGAGCGGCGGCTGGGGCTTCACCCAACCCTTGCTGAAGCCATACTCGATAATCGAGAGCTCGGTGGTCTTAATCGCGACCGGCTTCTCGTTGATGCCCAGAACGCAGGCTTCCTCGCAAGGCGCTGGGCAGGTGGTGCCTGTGAACTCGGGGAAGTTGTTGGTATCAAGCAGTCGCTCAAGGGCACGCTTCCACTCGCCCTCATGTACCAGCTGATTCCAAGTGGGGATGCGATTGCCCAGCGGACAGCCACCTCCACCTTGGTTGGGGCTGTGGCATGTGGGAGTTCCACAGTCCATGCACCGAGCCGTCTGTGTCTGCATCCAATTGTGCCACTGTTGACTCTTCTTGGACTGCGAAGCATAGATCTCCTCCCAGTCAAGGATACGATCCTTGTGGTCACGGTAAGGGAGGGCCTTACGCTCATACTCGTGGAAGCCACGCTTCTTCTCCGGGCTGGAAACGGAGATCGGCTTGCCCGCAGCGTCCTCGAGATCGGTGCCAGGCGCTGGGGGCACACTCGCCGCAGGCTTTACCGGTGCCTCTGACTTCGACTTCTCTTTCGCTGCCAGCAGAGCCTTCTTGTACTCCTTCGGGAAGATCTTCGTGAAGCGCTTCAGGGAGTCGGCCCACTTGGCCAGGAGATCTGATGCCACTTTGCTCCCGGTGTACTTCTGGTGCTCGGTGATGAGATCCTTCAACAGCGTCTTGTCCTCCTCTTCGACGATCGCCTCGAGGTGGACGCTCGCCTTGTTGCACAAGGCCTCCTGCATGTCCAGGATGTATGCGATGCCTCCGCTCATGCCCGCAGCAAAGTTGGACCCCATCTGTCCGAGAACGATCACCGTTCCTCGGGTCATGTACCTTAGTTGCTGAGTTCATCAGCACAAAAAAGTGTACACTTTCAGTTCTCTAAGGCTACTAAGGTACTCGCATCCATGGTCGCCGACGCCTTCACACACCGCGGTGGCACCGGAGTTTCGCACAGCGAAACGCTCGGCGGCGATCCCGGCGAAGAAGGCCTTGCCAGCCGTGCCTCCATAAAGCGCCGCATTGCCCGCGATGATAGCATCGTGCGAGGCATACGGGGCCTGGTTCGGCTTGTACACCACCAGGGTTCCGCCACTGATGCCCTTGCCGATGTAGTCGTTCGCGTCGCCCTCGAGCTCGAAAGTGATACCGGGAGCCAGGAAGTTGCCGAAGGACTGTCCGGAGCTGCCGATGAAGGACACGCGAATGGTTCCCTCGGGGAGGCCCGCAGCTCCGTATTTCTTACTCACCTCGAAGCTCAGGATGCCTCCAACGGAGCGGTCCACGTTGTTGATGTTGATGCCCTTCAGGCTTATCATCTCTTTGAAGCCTATAAACTCGAAACCCTGAACCTAAAACCCCGGTATAAACCATACCTAAACTCGAAACCCTAAACCTAAAACCCCGGTATAAACCAAACCTAAACTCGAATCCCTCTACCTAAAACCCCGGTATAAACCAAACCTAAACTCGAAACCCTCTACCTAAAACCCCGTGTTTAAAATACCAAAAACCCTAAACCCAAAATCCCATATAAACCCCAAAAGCCCTAAACCTAAAAACCTCGTTTTTACAACCCCAAAAGCCCCACCAGGAAGGAGCCTTGAGGTGGACCTGCTCCTTGTCCTGGAGTGCCGGGGAGCACCGAGAGATGAGACTCTGATCCAAGGCATGAGCCAGCTCATGGTCTTGTGGCTCGCAGCAGTACCTTAGGGTTTAGGGTTTAGTTTTTAGGGTTTAGGGTTATTTTTGTCGGGTTTAGGGTTTCGGGCGTAGGGTTTGGAGTTTACGGTTTAGGGCTTACTACTCATAATACGTACAATTATACATATTTATCATAGAACTGATAGTCATAATAATTTTTCCCCTCTCACCCTGCCAAAGCTGCGAGGTCGGAATCATCATCATCATCATCATACTGACGTTTAGGTTTCGGGGTCTTAGGCTTTAGCATTTAGGGTTTAGAGTTTTTTGGTCATCTTTTCCGGCTCAGGCTCAGGGTGTGGGGTTTTTTTGTGGGGGCTGCCCCCCATGGCAAAATAGGGGTCCAGACCTCAGGGGTATGAGTTTAGGGTTGAGGGTTTAGGGTATGGGTTTAGGGTTTCTTTAGGGGCTTGGGTGCTCCATGGGCCCTTTATAAAGCCTAAAACCCTACACCCCATGGCCCCTAAAAACCCTAAACTTCAAACCCTTTTTGCAACAGGCCTCGTAAACCCTAAACCCCTAAACTTTAAACCCGAAATCCTAAACCCTATAATAATCCTACAAACCCTCAAAGGCACACCCAAACTAAAACCCTCCGAAGGCGCATCGGGAGCTCGGCGATGTTGCTCATGGAGTTCCTGGGCTCTTGTTAGGGGATTTAACTTAAGTTACCATAATAAGGAAGTCATATTATTTACTGTAGATCTCTATTATGGTAATTTAAATTAAATCCCTTAACATATTATTTACTATACATCCCTATTACGGTAATTTAAATGAAAAAATCCCTAACAAGAGAGCCCAGGTTCTCCATGGTCCAGGCCGGCTTCAGGAGGTCGGCGAAGTCCAGGTCGGCAGTCTTCGGGTTGTCCTTGAGATATCCTTGGTGTGGGCTTCGGGTTTAGTATAGGGCTTTTGGCATTTTTTGAAGAACAAAGGGTGTGTCTCTTTGGGTCCTATTCTTCAGAATCAGTGTAAGGGAGACCACCAAAACAGAAAGAGGCAAACAAATGTGCGACGTCGTCTCCCTTAGCTCGGAGGAGGTCGGTTCGTCCGATGAGGTCGTTGAACTTCTTGATGCCCAGGGAGGCCATGATCTCGCGCGCCTCCTCGGCGACCATGAAGAGGTAGTTGATGAGGTGCTCCGGCTGCCCGGTGAACTTCTTCCGCAGCTCGGGATCCTGCGTCGCCACGCCCACTGGGCAGGTGTTCAAGTGGCACTTCCTCATCAGGGTCCCTAAACCCTCTCTCTCTCTCTCTCCCAGGCATTCGATACGTCATTAGGGACCCTAAACCCTAAATCCTAAACCGACCCTAAACCCTAAAACCCTAAACCCTAAACCGGTCCTCATCATGATGCATCCCAGCGTGATGAGGGGAGCCGTGGTCATGGCAATTTCCTCGGCGCCTAGCATGGCGGCGATCACCACATCCCGACCTGTTCGGACCTGGCCGTCGGTTTGCAGGGTCACTCGGTTACGAAGGCCGTTGAGAACCAGGGTTTGGTGGGTCTCTGCCAGACCGATCTCCCAAGGAAGGCCACAGTGCTTGATGGAGCCCCACTTCGCCGCGCCGGTGCCGCCGGACATGCCGGAGATAGTCAGGTGGTCCGCCTTGCCCTTGACGACGCCGGAGGCGATGACGCCAATGCCAAGTCGAGCCACGAGCTTCACGGAGATGCGTGCTGCGGGGTTGGCATTCTTCAGATCCTTGATCAACTGTGCCACATCCTCGATGGAGTACATGTCGTGGTGCGGAGGCGGAGAGATCAAGCCCACGCCCGGAGTTGCCTTGCGAGTTTCGGCAATCTTGCCGATCACCTTGTAGCCTGGCAGCTCACCTCCTTCGCCCGGCTTGGCGCCCTGCGCCAACTTGATCTGCAACTCCTCAGCATTGGCTAGATACTCTGCCGTAACCCCAAAGCGCCCTGAGGCGACCTGCTTAATCTTCGAGCGGAAGGAGTCGCCGTTCACGATGTCCCAGGTGGCTCCGCCCGCCACGAACTCACCCTTCTCAAGCTGCGTGAAGCGCATCGGGTCCTCGCCACCCTCGCCGGTGTTGCTTTTGCCGCCGACGCGGTTCATGGCAATGGCCATGGCACGGTGGGCCTCATCAGAGATGGAGCCGAAGGAGGCGGCGCCGGTGCAGAAACGCTTCACGATCTCGACCGCCGGCTCGACCTCAGAGATGTCAATCGGATCGCACTCCTCGGACAGGAATTCCAGCTGCCCCCGGATCTCCGTCTGCTCGGTGATCTTGTTCTGCCAGGTGGAGAACATCTTGTAGGCCTCGGTGGAGTTGGAGCGTGCTGCCTCCTGCATCTTGTAGATGACATCGGGCGTGTTCATGTGGATCTCCGTCTCATGGATGCTGCGGAAGTGATACTCCCCAAAGTCCTCCAACTCCTCCACCTCGGCATCGACCAATGGGGGCTGCGGCCGGTCAGGGAAGGCCATCTTGTGCAGCTCCATCGCATCCATCTCGAAGATGTTGAAACCTGCGCCATTGAGCACAAACTTGCAGCCGGTGAAGCACTTGGCGATGACTTCCTGGCAGGCCCCAGATGTGCTGATGGACACAAATATAGAACCCCCCAAAAATATTGGGGGATCCTTACTATGAGGACGCCTCTACAAGGTACCCTAAATACCCTAAACCCTAGGCATCAAAGGAGAACCGTCCTTGTCCATGCCCACCGCCTGGAAAAGCTGCGCGCCCTTGTAGCTTTGCAAACAGGAGATGCCCATCTTGCCTCGGTTCCCCCAGCATCCAACTTCCGAGCAACGGCGCCCTTGTTCCTATGATCAATCCAAAACTGACTGAAGAAATCCCCCATAAAATATGTAGCATGACATAACATAACGTTATATGTTTTCCATAATGCTGTATATAAAGGATATAAAGGGTACTTCTTGGGGGCCCAGTGGCTCATGACCTTCAGGATCCCTCCGTCCGAGGCCTTGCGGAAGTTCTCGATGCGCTGGTTGAGGGGGAGGTCGGTCCCCCGGACGCGGAGCAGGCTGAGGTAGCCTTAGTTGCTGAGCTCATAAGCCCTTTTAGGTTTTAGGGTTTATAGGCTACGCCCTAAACCCTAATCCCTAAAACGAAAGCCCCGATAAGTGTACGCTTTCAGTTCTACAAGGATTGATAATATCCCGAAGAATGTAAAGCAAAGCGCGCTCATTCAGCTACTCAGTAGCAAAGGTAGGGGTAGATGGCGTCACAGCCAAAGCCAAGGAGGCAGCAGAAGTGATGGATCCTTACTTGCCCCGTTTCCTAGGGCAACCACAGGGTTTAGGGTTCAGGGCTTTAGGGTTTTAGGGTTTAGGGTTTAACTTTTTGGGAGTATACAAAGGTCAGAGTACTCCCCAAAAGGTTCAAGGATACTCGCTTACCGCTAAGGATCTCATGGGCATCGGCTCCTTCCACGACCAAGGCGACCTTCGCACGGAGCTTCTTGGCAATCAGGTCCTGTTAAAGTTTAGGGTTTAGGGTCCACGTCCCAGGTTTTAGGGCTTTTGCGGCTTGGGGTTTAGGGCACGGCTTCATCAGATTTATAAGATGCTAGGGTTCAGGAGCTACGAAGCTTTTAATTTCAATACAGGGTTTGCATATTAAACCTAAACTTATTAAACAGGATTATAGGGCTTACATGATCTCCTGATGCACGGCACCCACGGCGAGGAGCGAGCTGACCGGCACGCGACTCTGACTGGCGCGGCGGTGCGAGAGGACGAGGATGGCGGCGCCATCGCCCAGGATCGCTGCTTCGGCCTCCTTGCAGATCTGCTCCAGGCGCTCCTCCATTGTAGAAAAAAGGGGGCCGAAAGAAGACATATCCGGAAACGAATGGTAGGGGCTAGACGTCCGGATCCTGGTTTTGGGGTGGAAGCGTGGCTATAAGAAGGAATCCAGAAACCCTTAATTCTGAGATTCTCATGTTTGAACTGTCATGTGCATGTATAGACAAATGTACCAAAAATACGAAGGAACTGTCAACGCCCTCTTTTAAAGGTCACTCCTTCAGCAGGTTGTTTCCGCGGGTTGCGCGGTCCGCCTGCCGGGCTCGCGACTTCGTCTCGCTAAGGCCATAGGTCATGTCCAGCACGACGGTAGGCATACCTGGGTCCCGGCTTAGGGCTTAGAATAGAAGCTTTTCTCAATAGTCAGGAGTTCTGACATTTCATGACTATCCCCCCTTTTGTGGGGCTGCATGTAATAACGACTGAGGTATGTCTGTCTGTCTGGCTGGCTGGCTGGCTGGCTGTCATATAGATATATATATATATAAAGATATA